AAAAAAAAAACAAATATAATATTTGATCTGCTTAAGTTTAATTCTGATGCAAATGTTATTATGGCCTATCCCTAAATATTAAAATCAAATAATACATGAAAATACTAACCTGAGCATGAATCTCTGTCATCATTTTTGCGCGCTGAGAATAATCATCATAACGTTCAAGTAGCAATTTGCCAGCTTCTTCGTTTAGCGCAGATTCCGCATTGGGTACAATAAGAAGGCATTTAATGGTTAGCAATATATGTTTAATACCGAGATCTGGTTTCCAATCCTTCTTTAATGTGTTAACGCAAATTTCACCATTGGCCGCCACATTTGGGTGGAAGATTTTTGTTAGGAAAAAGGCTTTGGGCGGTGATTGCGGAAAATCTTTTCCGAGTGTTAGCTTGACACGAAAAACTCCACCAGCATATGGCGTGCCAGCTGCAATTAAATTATAAATTTAGTCTATACGTACCTATGTATGTATGTATATACAAATTAACTACATATTAATTTATACGCATTTCTATAAAGCCCAGCAAAATGTGTGCAATATAAGTTTAGATAAATATAATATGTAAATGTTCGCAAATTTGAATACTGCAAGCGCAGCACTAGAGCATTATTTCGGCAAGGCCGCACAATTTGTGTCTCAAGGACAAGTGGCATTGATTTTTCTTATTGGTCACGTTTTCTTCAAATTTCAAGTAATTGCAGTGGTCGGGAGTAACCACAAAATGCGTATCTATTTAAGTACTATATACATATGCACTCGTACGCACCTGGACCCTCGATAAGTGCTTGAATGTCAGTTACATCAGCGTCATTTATTTGTATTTTTATGCCTTCCAATGGTGTTTCACTGATCTGCTGCATTTCCTTCATTACTTGACGAATGGTTTGTGGCGACAAATTTTCCACATTTGATATCTGCACAAGCACATGAAAAATGAAGGAAACATGAAATGTATACAAGAGTGTTTTTTTAATATGATAACCAACGTAAACAGTTGCACGTTATGTGGGATGCAGTACACTTACCGAGCTCATGGCTATGACTTTCGATTTTTGCTGGCTGCTATTGCTGTAATATTAGTGGCTGATGATGCTGTCAATGCTCTTACTTTCCACTTGCTTTGTTTTGCTCCTGTGTTTTATTTGTTGATTCGTCTTGTGCAACACGGCTAGTTACAATTTTTCTATGATTTACGTGCTCCCTTCACCTTGGTCGCACACGCAGACAGCTTGCTGCACCCTCAACCACTCACTCACTCGTTTTTAATACAAAGCGAACCTGCGCCGTGTTAAAAGCGTCACTTTTCGTCTGTCCGTCTTTGGAAATGGGCAATTGGAAAATGTATGTGTACTTTTTTAGTTTTCCTTCAATTTTCCGCCACTGCGCCTAGCTCTGCGATGGCGTCGATTTGTTTGTAATATTTCACTTACTTTTTTCAACAACCTTTGTGCAAGTTCAAACTATTGTTGTGGGTTTACACGTTTTTATTTTCCTCTTGTATCGCATTTGTTTAAACAATTTTCACTCGAATAACCAGAATTTTACAGTTTTCGAACAAAATTCCCAAAAAGAAAAATGTCAACCAGCGAAACAAACTTTTCCCACTCGACACAAACAGTGTTGCAGTGAAGTTTTATTAAAATTAGTATTGATAGCACTGAGTTGTCTGGAAGAATGGCGATGTTTCCGTTAAATGTTCTCTGTTAATAAAATTTTATGTATTAAAATAATTCTTATGTTTAATATAATAATGAAAACCACTGTTAGCACGTGTTATTCAAGCGTGAGTCGACGAGCGTTTTTTCCAGTACAAAATAAAACCCCGCTTTTTTACAGACCGCGAAATGCAACCATGTGTGCTCATTAAACACATCTTGGAAACGCGCTACGTATGTTCTACCAGCAGACGGCGCTGTAGTCGCGGAAGCGTAAATGCAGAGTCGCTTTGCTTACAAAATGACAGTTTCGCGCTTTATCGAACAAAATTCGTATGCAAACGAGTCACTAGAGTTAAAAATTAATGATATAGTGAATTCATATTACTTTCTTGGTGTTTAATGCAAAGAAAATAAGCGATACCAACTTTTATTACTATAGTGGGCATCCCAATTGTAAAATCTACTTGTGTGTAAATGCGTTTCGGTGTGGGGCTTTGCGGAAGTGAAATCGTTCCTTTGCAATTTCCAAAGCTAAATCGCTCAGAAAAACTTCATTAAATCATCCAGCATGAGGAGAATCCTTAAATAAGACAGGTAATTAGCATTAAATAAATTTCATTTATTCAGCTTAAGTTTTATTTGTAATGCATGCACGTTTGTAAGTACCTATTACATATGTACGTTTGTATGTACACATGTACATGTTCCGGTCTCGCATTTCCTTCCTTCTACTCGTTTTATTCAAATTGAAAACTACGATTTCGTAATTGCCTAAAGAAATTGATTCTTTTTCGCTGCTCGGAAACATTGAAAAATTTGTCGTCCATAAACTTAGTGTCCGACCATGGCACCATTTCGAAGTCATTAACAGCCTTTCGATTAAAAAGTGGATCTGGTGACTCTACGTCATGTACATTTTTCGGACTACATTTCGGTGGATGTGGCGCAATGTAATCGCGATTGTATGTGGAAATATTTTGAAACTCTTTACGTTTATCGAATTGCAGCAGATCAAATCGGAAGTCATTCATCGGATACGATTGAAAGTTGAGTTGCTTACGAGCGATTATGCGTAAGTTTGATGCCATTTTCCGTCCAGCCTCCAGACTTTCGTGTGTAATAGATTTTGGTGTAGGCATGTTGGCCTCATAGCGCATCCAATCACCAGTGGAATGACATTTGGACATTTTCGATATTTTATAAAACAATAGAGAAATTTTAAATTAAATAACTGACGAAAAACGAAAATAAAACTGTCTGACAAAAGAAGGATGGAACTTTATCATATTTATTATATTGTACTATCGATAGCTGCCTACACCTCTAAATCGCTTTTTTTTTATTAATTAATTTGCTACAAAAATAGTCAGTACCCGAATGTAATAGACACCCCGTTTATTGCATTTCGTCGGGTTAGGCAAAGCTTGCTGTACCACTGTCGAAGTTGCATGCCTTCAAGTTCCTTTCTAGTTTCGTCTGCTTAGTAAGAAGCAGCAGTTTATACTCAAATTACGTAAACTGAGTTTAAGCTGAACAACTGGTTGACATTTGATTGACTAATCTTAGTTTAAACCAGCCACTTTAGGCGTTTAAACTAAGTTTCAAACCACAGCCGTGCACTGAAAAACTGGCCCTTTATCTTAACTTTAATCTCAATTTTAAACTTCGTCTTCATATTAATCTTAGATAATGTTATTCTTAATTCTTAATCCTAATCTAAATATTAAGCCTAACCTTAATTCACTCTTAATCTAAATATTAATCTTAATGTTAATATTATCTTATTCTGCATCTTCATCTCAATCTTAATCTTAATTCTTAATCTTAAACTTATGTAATATTAATCTGCATCTTCATATTGATCTTATCTTAATCTTAATTTTAATTCTTAATCTTAATCTTAATATTGTCTTAATCTTAATTTTAATTTCAATCTTAGTCTTATTCGGAATCTTATTCATAAGTCTGCCCAACTTCGCCACCAATCCCCTCCCTTCTTCTTTCACTTTCCTTTCAATTTGAAAATAACAGCTCAATTATCCTGTAGCTTTTTTATTTCTTCGCTGATTGGACTTACACCCGACCGAGCGCACATTTCAAAAAATCGTTTTCATTATTTGATGTTACACGTACCACACACTGAATTCAGGAGCTAAACTTAATCTAAATCTGAATACTTATATAAATCTTAACCTTACTCTTAGCTTTAATTCTTAATCTTAATCTTCATCTAATTTTATCTTAAACTTAATTTAATCTTAATCTTTATATTAGGGCTGTGCGATTAATTGATTATTCAAAATTTTAATTAATCATAAAGTAAATAACTCAATTATTCGATTAATTGGAAATTATGATTACTCAAAAGTTCAATTACTCGAGTAACCAAGATTTTGATTAACCAAAAACAAAAATATATGAGTAATTTGCTTTATGATTAATCAACATTATGAGTAAAATGAGTAATCAACATTTCAAAGTACTGTTTACATATAAAGCAGTTGAAGTTCCTTGATACTTTGAAAACAACGTTTCTGTTTTCAAAAAATAATTTTTTCCTGTACAGAATGTAAAAAAGAAAATAAGCATTTTCCAAAGCAAACTCATTTAACGAGCAAAATTAATTCTTTTGAGTAATCATATATCAAGTAACAATCATCGTTTTGAGTAATCAAAATCTTGATTAATCAAGTAATTGATTAACCGGAAAACTGATTAAGCACCTTGGTCGAGTAATCGAATAATCGCACAGCCCTACTTTATATCACTCTTGATTCTTAATTCTTAATCTTAATCTAAGCCTTCATATTCAGCTTCGTCCTCATCTTTACCTTAATCTTCATTATCCTCTCATATCTTCATCTTCATCTTAATCTTGATCTTAATTCTTAATCTTAATTTAATCTTACCCTTTTTCTAAACGTTAACCTTAATCTTCTTCTTAATATTAATCTTAATCGTAATCTTAATATTAACCGTAATGTTAACTTTAAATGTAATTATTAATTCTCAATTCTTATTCTTATTCTTAATCTTAATGTTAATATTAAGCTTAGTCTTAATCTTGATTTTTTTCTTAATTGTGTCCAACCACGCCCAGCATCCACTCCCTTCTTCTGTCGCTTTCTCCTTTCATTGGAGTTTGGAATAAGAACCCAGTGATCCTATCGGGTTTTCTTTTCATTGTTGATTGGATTTACACCCAACCGAGCGCACTTCAAAAATAATTGGGTTCGGGAGCAGTGATCAGGAGCAGGGTCGCAATTTCTAAAACTAATCTTTGAACATTTTTCTTAACTTATTTTCGTGTGCAGCGACCCAAAATTTGTAAAAAACAAAAAAAAACTTTTAATTAAGTACTTTGGTCTTTTTTAAGTTTTTTAATGTGCGTATGTACATGAGTACTCATAAGTCATACATATTTCCCTCATCTCTTTGCACATTAAGCCAAGAAGAATTGAAGTCTGTTCGCGTCCTGCATGTATGTAGTTAAATATGAGCATCATAGATATGTACCTCATACTTAAGAGTGGATAGGATGTTCGAGGGCATTTCAATAAGTATGAATGTAAGTAGAACATATCATCGACGGTGAGTGGGATATACTCAGTTTGATCACACTCAGTGCGCTTCTCTGTTCGGGAGCTACTAAAAAATGGTAGCACACGTTTTCGAAAAGAAAAATTAAGCAAAAGTGTGACCAACTGTAACAACAAAGATAATTGCGCTCATTATGCTCATTTGTGTGGTTGTGCAAAAGTCAATGCTAGTAAAATATTTAAGCTGTCTGCCAAATGATTGTTGTCTAACATATTTATTGAAAAGTCGAATATAATTAATTTTGCACAACATTTGCGTGATGAATTGATGACTTCGTTGCCGCATAACTGACTGATTGACTGACGGGCAGGCATGATCAAGGTATCGTAAAGAGAGTGTATGTGCATGGTTTGAATAGTGAAGAGGTAGAGGAGTGTTAAAAAATAGCGGCACAAAAAAGTAGCGGAGACTATTTATAAGGCGCTAACGATTATTCAACACTTGACTGCACTTTTAGTGAAATTTTTGTTGGCTGCAATTAAAAAAAACCAAAATAATTTCCTTCTCTGCTTGAAGTTTTTTGCTTAATTTACATCTACTCACTAACCAATGCCCGTACCCAATTTTGCTTTAATAATTATTTTTAGCCTTTTTAATTTTCTGTATTATTCGTATTTAAGTTTTAAATGGCATCGACAGCGTATAAAAAAAATATACAAAATAAACATAAATGGCTAAATAGACATAAAAAAGACTCAAAGGAAAGTAAAATTAAAACAAGTAATTTTTAAGCAAAAAACAAAACCGACTTCAATTCTCATATAAAAATTTAAGATTATCGTTAATCTCTTCATGATCCAATGATCGAATGTAAACCAAGTTAGAATGGGACCACCATTGAGGTAACAACTTTCCTTCAAAAAAGAATTACAGAGATCGGTTGACGTGATCCAAAGTTATACGGTAACATACTTAAAAAAAAATATTCCGACGAATTGATAACCTTCTTCTTTTTGTGAAGTCGGTTAAAAATTATATACAAAAAAAAAAATTATAATTATACAGTACAAAACGTCAATTGAAACTTTCGCATATCTGAGGCTGGTAGGTACATGCATGTATACTATATACATATTAGGGTGGTCCTTAAAAAATATCAACATCTCAATTCTGTACTGGTCTACGTATAAAGTAAACACATCCACGATAATTTAAATATTTTAAACAAATATTTGGGGTTTGAAAAAATAAAATTTTTTTGAAATAACAAAATAAATAAGTTTCAGTTATACGTAAAATTGATCATATAGTTGCATTTATGCGATTTAACAAAATTTAAATTTTTTAAGCTCTGGTAGCGACCCCTAAAAAATTTTTTAAAATTTTGAAATTTTCGGGGATGTCTTTTTTGTGTACGTACAACAAAATAAAATGGTGCTCCATGCAAAATTTAGATGTTGATATTTTAAGGACTACACTAATACATATGTATGTACGCATTTTTGCTTTCTTATCCAAAATCTGATCTGTAACTCACTGCAAAACTAGCGATCAATGAGATAAATTAAACTAAAGCGTGTAGAAAGATGTTAAGCTCATTATTGTTGGCATATTATGTTATTGTTTTGCTGTAGTTGTTGTAGATTTTCAGCTGAGTAGGCAACAGTGCATAAAGTGGAAATGCACAGAAGCGGGAAGTAGTCTTGCGAATCAGGTAGACATACCCACTTAAGTATAGAAAATAATCAAATAGACTCCCCACAACAACTACATAACAAAAATTGCTGCTTTCTAACACTTGGTACTACATAGCAGATATTAAAGCGCTGTAATGTACTGCATTGCCTACAACTAACTATTGTTATGATTGTGCCGAGTTGTTTGCAATTAGAGAAGCAGTAGAAGAAGCAGAATAACGAAAAGAAAAAACATTATTTTGCCCACTGGCAATGAGTGTTGGCGTGGTCGGCAGCTACTAGCCACTGGTCACTGGGCACCGCTTGCGAATTACCGCAAAATTATTGTTCATGGAATTTTATGCGCAAAGTTGTTAAAGTAGTAAATAATGCGAAGTAAAAATGCAACACAAAAGAACTGTTGGTTCGTCTATACAGGAAATGCTTTTGTTGCGCTTTTCTTGCATAAAATGTTGGTATAATGAAAGCAAAATATTCGCCACAAGTAGGAGTAGTACTTGGAAAAGGTGTTGGCGTTTTTTTTTCATACAACCGCTTAAATGCTTACTTGAAATATGTTAGTATGTAAACATATGCGGCTAGTATCGTAGATATGTAAGTACGTACCTATATACATACTTACTTATGTAAGTACATATCGGATATCGCGTGCCACATATTTGTTGCTTCGGCAGCGTGAAATCTGCAGCACATCATAAATCAGATTTTTTTGCTGGTAAATTTATTTGTCTAACGGTTTAAATCTGCATTTTATTAACAAATATGGATATGTGATTCTTTGCACTTAAAATATTGATTTAAAATCCGGAATTGTATAGCCACAAATAAAAATTTAAGCACCCTTTGCGAAGAAGCTAGACATATTGAATAGCGCGCTGAAATTCATTGACTTAGGCGCATCTTGAACGGGGTTAGGGATTAACTCCGATAAAATGGACCTGACACTCTTC